CCCAGACTGGCAGAGGGCATAAGGGTCAGAGCTGGGGTACAGGTGGCAGTGTCAGGTGGCAGAGGGGCTGGCTGGGGCACAAAAGTGTTGAAAGTGCAGAGCTGTGTGGCTAGGTGTCATGTAGTAGCCTGGCACCCAGCTGGCTGGGGTGACTGGGCTCAATTTATGCCTATGGTCAGTGTCTAAATGTGCATTTAATTACAGTAAATTACCCCTATGTAAGATAGTACTGTTTCTGACAGTACTATCTTACATTGGCGTAAATTAGTTTACTGATACCTAATAGCATTGCACATGTAGACAGTGACACTTTACTCTGCAACTAGTCTACTCTGCAGTAAAGTACATATGTAGCCATGGTCACTGTTACATAAGTCACATCTTATTTGCATTCTACAGCTGTGGGGGAACAAGAACTAACTAAACCTTTTAGTCAGTAGCACACAGAGTAACTAGATCTTTAAGTCAGTAAGAGAGACTGTGACTCATGATACCAAATTTGCTCAATTTTGACTCCTGAGTCCAGGAAGTGGCAGATGTTGCTGGTTGTTTCATGTAACTCAGATAATTAGTACCTTGTTAGGTGGAATTGAGTGTTGTGACAGGTTAATAAATAATTCATAGTCTGATGGTAAAATGTTGCAAGGATCCTTGTTCATAAAAGCCTTCTTAAATGCTTCCAGCAGCTCAGAACAGTTCTTCTCACTATAACAATCAAAACAAATAGACTACTGATGTTTTCCGGAGGCAAAGTAATGATACATGCTTTGATCAAAATCTCCCACAAAAGTAACTACTACTACAATTATAAAGGGACAAAATCCCATTTCACCTTCATGTACTTAAGTGCGACTTGCACAGTTTGACTTCTGTTTCCACCTATAGTGGAATAGAATTATCCTGTGCATGCCCAATACATCACTGTTCCTGAGAGCAGGAAATCCAGGTTCTAGGCACCCTAACCATAGGAAGTTGAACCTGCATCTCCTGCTGCCCCGCAAGGTGCTCTAGCCACTTTACTTAAACTTTTTAAGATAAATGAATGAAGTTATTGGATAGTGAAAGGAGTTTAATAACACAGGAATGAGATATAGGGACCATCTCCTTTCCACATTCCTTGTAATCCCTACTATACAAGACATAATAGGCCATGATAGATGTTATACTTTAGAACCCAATGATCTGTTACAACCTGCAACATGATGTATATGCATGGTGTTATATCTCATTTAGGGGCCCAATCATTGTGTGATAGCTAAAGCTCGATGGATGTAGTTTAACTGAACCAGATGTAGTTGAACCTGGTTCTGTAACTGGTTTTGTAATGTCTACAATGTTAGGGTCTGTCTTCATTGAGAGCTACATAGTTCATCCGCCAGGTGTAGCTTCAGAGACATCACACTTCCTCATTGTGGAATGGGTGTGGATGAGGTTAAATAGATAAAACAAGTTCTGCTGATTTTGCTGGAAATGCAAAGTACTCAATTATCACCTTGGTATTTGCTAACTTGAAAATTAAAGTAGTCCCTTGAGCTAGTAGGTTTCAGCAGTGGGATCCTGGACAGTCCTAAAGCTAGACACTTGAGCCTCTGTGCCCTGGTCTGGAGTAAACTGGTTGTGCCTAAATGTTCTCAGGACGGAGAAATGAGAGGATTATGAGTCATTAAATCTTGCTCACTTGTCACTCATGAGATGCCTGTATCTTAGGAAATCAGAAGCACACATACAAACTCACTCACCATTTACATGCTTCCAGATACACAGACACATAATAAATACATACATTTGTTCTTCCAAGATGCACACGTTTGCAGACAGCAGTAGGGGAGGAAAGAGGAAGAAAGATGAAAAACTGGAAAAAAACAGTCACACAAACTTCAGCTAAAGGAAAGCTCTGATCTATTTGAAAGTACTCATTAAACCCTCTCCCATTTCTCAGTCCCTTTTATGCCAGTGTCAGGCTGAGATATGATTACCCTGCAGGAGTATGTAGCAGCCCCAGCCATGGGGTGGGATTCCATTGTGCCAGGTGCTGTACACACATAGAATAAAAAGACTGTCTCCAAAGGAAAAAAGAACAATAAGAGAAGAGGAGCTGGGTAGGCTCAGTGATAGGTGTGGGATAATTTGAACCCAAGAAATGTGAATCTCCTCAGCTGCTGCCTGATGTGGTTGGGGGAAATTCCATGTTACTCTCTGCACAACTCCCCTGCTGCTGCCTGTGTCTCTGGACATGATTGGTGGCAGACAGTAGGGCTGTGAGAAATGGCAGCGTTCTGTTTCAACCAGCGTTTCCACGTTTCAACACAACAGCATTCCATTTCAAATTTTGTTTCGATTCAAAACAGCTGTTCCATTCCATTCCGTCGAAACAGGGTCGAAACAGCAAAACTGTTTCAACGTTTTGCCCATAAATTATAATGAGGAAGGTCAAAACAGCCTATAACTTCGTCATTTCTGGCCTGATTTGGATGAAACTTACAGGAATGGTAGCTCCTTCTGAGGACATGAGGTCCACCATGTTTCAAGGAGATAGGTGCAGGGGGTTCAGGGAAACTGCACCCCAAAGTCTTGAGAGCAAAACTCATGGCATGTGTATGTAAGACACAGCAGGGTCAAAACTGTAGGCATGCTAGCCGCTTCTGAGGCCACAGAGCCTGCCAAGTTTCAAAGAGATAGGTGCAGGGGTTTGGGGGAAACTGTACCTCAAGCTGCGGACAAGCAAAACTCATGACATGGGTGACACTGTGTGTGTTAAGGTGCAGCAGAGTGAAAGCTGCAGGCCTGCTAGCTCCTGCTGAGGCCATGAAGCCTGCCAGCTGTCATGGAAATAGGTGCAGGGAGGTTCTGGGGCCTGGAAGAACTGTTTCAAAGCCATATCTCCTAAGTCTTAGGCTCCAGCCACTCATAGATTCATAGATTGTAAGGCCAGAAGGGACCTTGGAAGATCATCGGGTCCAGCCCCCTGCACCAAGCAGGAAAGACAATGCAGGGTCAGGTGACCCCAGCAATGTGACTGTCTAGTCTCCTCTTGAAGATTTCCAGGGGAGGTGATTGCATTACCTGTGGAGGAAGCTTATTCCACAGTCTGGACACCCTAGTTGTGAAGTAGTTTTTCCTACTTAGCAGGCCTCACCTGTGGCTAGCATGCCTTCAGTTTTGACCCCACTGTGGCTTAACACATACACGTGACATGAGGTTTGCTCTCAAGATTTTAGGGTGCAGCTTCCCCAAATCCCCTGCACCTATCTTCTTAAAACTTGGCAGACTTCATGCCCTCAGAAGGGGCTACCATTCCTGCAAGTTTCATCCAAATCAGGCCAGAAATGACAAAGTTATATGCTGTTTAAATTTCCCCATTATAGCCTATGGGCGAAGTGTCGAAACGTTTCGACTTGCCTCGTTTTGTTTCGAGGCTGTTTTGCTGTTCTGTTTTGATTTTTCTGTTTTGACCTAGAAACAGGTTCAAACAACATCAAAACAAAACTGGCAGTGAAATTTCGCACAGCCCTAGCAGACAGCCTCTCAGGTACAACTGGATCTGCGTGCTTCTCTTGGGCATGTCCAGATGAGTGCGGATGTTTGGCTCCTCAGGGACAAGTAGCAGTGGCACACCTTGCACTGCAGGTACTTGTCCCTGGGGAATACCTGTGCCATGTGCACTTTGCCACACAGCTGTGCCCCAGGTCTGGTAGGGGAGGCTAGGTCCAGCACTGTGTTGACCCCAGCAGCCTTACTTGGGGTCCTGCGGGCCTCCCAGGGCTGCAGCCGTGGCAATCCTACTGGGTGGAGCCTGGCCAGCACCCACAGCATGGCTCTGGGCAACCTGGCCCCACTTTTCAGCATTATGAGCTGCCCAAGTGTATGCTGCTCTGTTTTTTTTTCCCATGGGTTTTTTTTGATCTCTGAAAATGGAAGAGCACACATATGGGCAGCAAACCCTTGCAGCGTGGGAAACATCAGACTGTGCGGTATGTGGCGCTGCAGATGTGTTTGTGTTTGTGATGCCACACACCACACAGCCGGGCTCATCTGGATGCTCTTCTTGTCTGCAGGGCCCTGGGATTGCATGATGGTCCCACAGAGAGGCAGTTGCCCAGCATTTGTGCTGCTGACAGCCAGAATAGATGTCTGATGGACTGTAGCACCTGGAAAGACTTCAGGCTGTTATGTGGGAGGATATCCCACTGCTTCTGCATCTCATGCCATCTCCTAGTACCTGAATTCACCCCTAAAATCTTCTGAATTTACCCCTGTTCTTGGCAAGGGTTCCCCACAGCAGTGTAGTCCTAATGCCACCAGTTCTGCATCTCACTGGTGACCACAGAATTGCTGCTGACTTACAGCCATGTGTGTGTGAGGAGTGGAGGAGAATGTGGTTTCATGCAGTGAAACGCAGGAAAAATTTAGGCTCATGAACTCACTCCAGACTTGTGGGAGGGCTGGGAATATGGTCTGTAAGGGAAGAGCCTTGCAATGACCCTGTACATGTATGTGGGTAACAGTGCAAGACACTGGCCCTGATCATTCTTTGCATGACAGGCACTGTGAAGGGGGAAGAGACAGCCCACCATGGTTCCCCACGTCATTCACCGTAAGAGAGGTGGTGAACACCAGTGGCAGGCTGGCTTCAGCAAGGGAGGCTGTGGTGTGCCGCTTCAGCGGGGAGAAGAGGCATGGCCCGCTGGGGCAGCAGAGCCATGAAAAGGCTGGCTGCGGAGTGGCCCGAGGTGGAGGATCCTGGGAGGCAGGCAGAGTGGGGGAAGAGGGCCTCGTGAGAGAGAGAATGGCAGTGAACAGACCCCAGGGATGGGAGAGAGTTCTGTGGCTGGGGGAAGCAGCAGGAAAGCCCTCAAGGCAGGGCAGAGCTTCACGGCAGAAGCACCCGACAGAGAGGCCCTGGAGGCAGGGCTAAGGGATGCCACCAAGCCATGAGGGAGAGAGGTGCGTGGCACAGAGGCCCTTGAGAGAGGGCGGTGTTGTGCGGTGGAGGCACACAGCAGAGGGGCCGCGGAGGTGGGGTGGAAGACTGGAGCTGAGCCACATGGCAGAGTGGCCAGCGGCATGGCAGCACTGAGTGATGGCACTGAGTAACGGCAGCAAAGGAGCCATGCTCAAAGGGAATCAAGCCAAGGACGCCAAGACGAGCATCTGGGGTGTTGGCAGGAGCCACCTAGAAGAGCCCAGACTCAGGTTAGGCTGGGCCGAGGTGGGAAGGGGTGGCAACGCACTGCGGGGGGCTCCATTAATA